CTCTCTTTTATAATAGGAATGTCATATGCAAGACAAATTATTTATTTTAAGCTTAAAATTAAACTTTTAATTCTAGCCTAACATTTAATTTGACTTATCTATAATATAAAAACATTTTCCTACCTTCATAAAACCCACACATCTTCGTAGCATTGACACATCAACAAATTCATAATCACCAAATTCTTCAAAACTATATAATCCATATAATCCTTTTCGAGCATTTTTTGCATTTTGAATATATGCAAATAATTGATATTTTCCTCGGAACATATAATAAAAATAAAATTGCACACGACCAAAAAATTGTTGCAGTTCATATTTTTTAGCTTCTCTTGGCTTGGCAATATTTACTTCAAGTTCATACTTGAGAAAAAATTATATTATTTAATATATAAAATATTAAGTAAAATTATATATTTTAAAAAATAGCCTACCAGTACACAAGAATTATCACGTGCATTAGCTGCTACTTTTGACATTAAAGAACCTAGCATATACCCTTCTCTTGTACGAAATTTGGCATATTTTACACCCCAATCATTTAACTTATATAATAGTTAGAATTTTAAATTAATATATTATACAAATTTAGACAAATAAAACTTACTTCTAAAATAGGCTCTTTTAAATTTGCATAATAAAAATTTGATAATGCAATAAACTCTCTATTATTTAAAATATAATCTAAACTAGGTGCCCAGAGTTCTTCTTCTCCATCTTTAATCCAAACAACTTGTCGTGAATGAAATTGCTTTAATGGTTGAGGAGGAGAAATTTGTGTAGATAAAGTTGAAACAAAATGGAGATGATAAAAACGATCTTGCAATAAAATATTATTCATTAAGTTTTTATATGGATGTTGATTAGATCGAACCATAGGCTGTAGCATTCCACATAATCGCTCAATTGGATATTGCCAATATACCCAACATGGTCCACAATTTTTAATACAATCTTGTATATGAAGTAAATAATGAAAGGTAATTCGATAAGCTGGCAAACGTTTTACATCATTATTAACATATAATCTAATAATTATTAAAGATTAATAAGTTATTAAATAAATAAATAAATAAATAAAATATTTATAATACCTAGTATAAGATTTAAAAAATTTATTAAAATTTTCACCCAAGTTATATAATTGTTCATTAGTAATTGTTTTTTTAATAGCAATTTGAGCAGCTTCTACAAATATAATCCAATTATCTACAAAACTATATTAATAAATATAAATTATTAATATATTTTTATTTAATATATATAATAAATTAATTATAAAAATACCTTTTGTCATGAAATTGTCTCAATAATGGTATTGAATATAAACAAGTCCAGTTCACCCAATCTTCAGCTTTATATGCATTTGAATGTTGAGCAATATTTAATGGAGGCCGGCCAAATTCAGTTGGCATTGATTTTTTATTTATTTCCATAATAGAACCAATATTTTTCCAAGTATTTTTTGGTAAAGTTTGTGGATTTGTTTCAGAATTATTTAAGGATTTATCCGAATAAAATGTTCCTGACCAGTGTTTATACATATGCATTGCAGCACCTTCAAATATAAGATGCATTATGTCTAAAGGAAAAGAAATAGGAAATTGTATAGCTTTTAATTCAAAAAGAATACTTTCACCAGTTACACCTATAAATAAAAATATAATTAATTTTTTAAAATATTGTTGCTTAATTTCTATTAATAAAGTCTAAATAAAATAACTTATATACCAGTTTCTCTTTGAACTTTTTTTTTATCAGTTGCTGTTTTCCAAAGTGAAACTTTATTCAAATAAGATTCTTGATTTCGTAGTGGAAGATTTTTTATATTGTATAATTCTTTATCTTTGTTTGTTGGATGTTTTAAAGGATAATATACATGATTTATGCCTGACTTTGAGTCAGATACTCCTTTTAAATCACAAAATCTACAACCCATATATCCATTATGACCTGTAACATATATTAGTTTGCTAATTGCTGGTATATCACCACACCAAATTGGAACAAAAGCACGTAGTATAAATTTTTCTTGCTTCCAACCATCCCAACATATTACACCATCTTAAAAATAAAAATTAATAATTTTATAATAAAATAAAAATAAACTTATTTAATATATAGAAAAATACCTTCAAGTTTTTTTAGTTCATCAATAATAGGACGCATAAAACTATTAAAATTTTTAGGACAGCTTGGTCCTGGTATTATTGCTGAAATTAAAAGATTTTCTCGTTTAACTCGATTTTCTGGTGGAATATTATTGTTAATAAACATTATCACCCAATTATCATCACGTTGCTGTTGAAAAATTTGATATCCATCTAAGCTTGCTGTAAGTATTAAATCTCGCTCATCTTTAATACAATTATTTTTTAATAATTGTTTATATAATTGTCCATCAAAAATATCACCATATTTACCAGTATTAAATATATAATTTGAGCGATATCTAAAAGTTTTTGATCTTTCTAAATTTGCATACTGAAATCTTAATCGAGGAATTAATGGATAATATGCAGCTGTTTTAAAGGGTACATTTTCTTCTCTAAATCTAGCAGCAAAACATATAGGACATTGTGTTTCTTCTATATATTCACCTGTAAAAGCTATACAGGAATTAATACACATATCAACAAATAAAATATCAATATTGACTATATTTTGAAGAAATTTTTTTGTCGAATATAATGTAGGACCATTGCAATTGAAAATTTTTAATATTTCTTCAAAATTTTCATTTGAAATATGAGAATTTTTTGACTTTAAATGTAGTAATTTTAATGCATTAATCATATTCGTTGATTCTAAATAAATAAATTTAATAATTAAATACAATAACTTAAATTAACAAATTTTAACTATATTTTCTTATATACTTCTAAAATATATATTAACATACCTTCAATATTATAAATTAAATTGCATTGATTTAATTTTTTATATTGTTCTAATTCTTTAAATTCTTCA